GTCCATCCACCTCACTTGTGATGCTTCCTTCATCCCATCCTTTTATTACATTATTGGTCTTTCCCTATCCCTTCTACTTCTAAATTATACTCTTTTTTTAGGGGTGGGGGGGTCTACCAATCCTTCACTTGTTGTCATTCACTCAATAATCCCATACTGTCACGTATTAAGAAAACCTCATCCATATTGCAGGTGAAAATTCCATTAGTACCTGGAATCTTCCAGTCCCCAGGGGCTATTCAGTCGAGAAAATTCCAACCGCAGTTCAGAACTCCTTCCCCTCACTCTGCCTGCCGCGTGATCGTCGTGGCAGGAAGATTAGGCCAATCATCTATTAGGAAAAACATGTGACGTCATCCACTAGCCACGCCCATATGCGATGATACAAAAGTCTGCACTCACCAAGAGCGGTACTAGGACTAACATTCGCCCACCAGGAGGCACCACATCATGAAGACAGCAATAGCATAAAAAGCACTCACAGGCATACAAAGATTAAAAAATCAAAGCACTAATACGCCCCCTGTTAACATACGCACCCAAGGCACTCCAGGTATCAACACCAACAAAATTAAAAAAGTACAAGTCATACAGAATGAAGAATATAAGAACATCAGAACATGAGACTAGAGGAAAATGCAGCGGGCCTTTTGGTCCACACTGGGAAGTCCTGTTTACACCCGACCCCTATCGCTCATATACCCATCCAACCTATATTTAAAGCTAACCAGCATATTCGAGTTAATGATGATGTTTGGTAGCTTGTTCCACTCTATCTCGTGCCTAAATCTAAATTTGTCTAATTTAAAACCATTGCTAGGAATTCGTTCTTACTGCATAATCCAAGTGAGGTCTCATAAACGCAAGATATAGTTTTAGAATAACTTCGCTAGTCTGGTAACTAACATTCCTCTGTATAAACCCAAGTACTTTGTTAGCCTTGTTTCGAGCAATACACAGTGCTGTCCTGGTTTAAGATTCCTACTTATCATTACCCTTAAATCTTTCTCACAGATGGATTTCTCTACATTAACGATGTTCATCTGATATCTGGTTTCTCTGTTTACATCTCCTAGACTAAGTACATTACATTTGTCCACACTAATTTTCATCTGCCGTTATTTAGGCCACGCGAAAAATTTGTTTAGTTCTTCCTGTAGTCAGTTTTAATTACTTGCCCTATTTTAGTGTTGTCAACAAATTTACTACGTTGCTGTCTTCGCCTATATCTATGTCGTTTATGTATATAATAAATAATAAAGGTCCAAGTACTGAGCCTTGGGGTACTCCACTAGTGACGTTACCCCAATAAGATTTAGTGAATTAATGCTGACTCTCTGTTTGCTATCCTGTAAACCACGCCTTAATCCAGTTTAGAATATCCCCTCTAATTCCATGAGCCTCCACTCTACGTATTAGTCTTTCGTGGTAGAGCCTGTCGAAGGCTCTGCTAAAGTCGAGGTAAACCACATCATAATCATGTCCGTCATCCACTGATTGATTAACAGTTGAAAAGAATGATAATAGATTTGCCAGACATGAGCGCCCACTTGTGAAGCCATGCTGGGAATCATTAATCAATTTCTGTTTCTCCAGGTGATTTCGAATTGTTTGAAATTATTGCTTCCAGTAATTTTTCTATAATTGATGTTGAACTAATTGGATGGTAGTTGCAGGATAGTGATCGATCTCCCTTCTTGAAAATCAGCATCACATTCGCTATCCTCTAGGATTCTGTTAATACATCCGTTTTTAATGACATGTTAAACAAGTTTGTTAAGGGCATACAAAGTTCTTCCTTACATTCCTTTAATATTCTGGCAAATATCTCATCAGGACCTGGCGACTTAGTAAGGAAGATGAATCATTATCCTCTAACTACCGTTCAATCAGTTTAACATCAATTGTAGGCAAAGTGCCGGAAGCAATCGTTCAAACTCTATTGGAAATCGCCTCGAGAAGCACAAGTGGATCAATGATTCCCAACATGGCTTCACAAGCAGGCGTTCATGTCTAACAAATCTATTAACATTCTTTTCAACTGTTTTCGAATGGATTGGAGCGTGTTTGCAGAAAAGGAAACAGTGAATAAGCATTAATGGCACTAAATCCGATTGGGGTAACGTCACTTGTTGAGTTCCCCAATGCTCAGTACTTGGACCATTACTATTCATTTATATATAAATGACATAGATACTTTGCTGTCACTCGGAATCGAGTATGACGATCATCCAGCTATAATACAATGATATGAGTTATTAGGAATGTCACCTACGTTAGTGAGTTTTGAGGTGACTAAAGAGACCGATACGGGTCCCAGAGCGTCGTTCAAATTCGTTGCACATGTGGATGCCTCCATCTACTGCGGAAGGGGCAGTGGCAACGTTCTTCCGGCGTTGGCGCTTGTCTGCTTCGATTTAAATGACATAGATATAGCCGTAGACAGCAACATAAGTAAATTTGCTGATGACACTAAAATAGGACGTATAATTAAATCTGACGGGGACTCCGCAAAACTACAGGAATTTAAAAAAAAAATTTGCGTGGTCTGAAAAATGGCAGATGAAATTTGATGAGGACAAAAGTAAAGTACATAGTTTAGGAGATGTAAATAGGGAAACCAGACATCGATGATATAAGGAAATCCAACTGTGAGAAATATTTAGGAGTAATGTTAAGTAGGAATCTTAAACCAAGACAAGAATGTGTATTTGTTCGATACAAGGCTAACAAAGTACAGTGTACTTGGATTCATATAAAGGAGTGTAAGTTACAAGACGAGCGAGGTTATCCTAAAACTATATTTTGTGCGCGTGAGACCTTACTTGGATTATGCGGTTCAGCTCTGGTCAACAGTACTACAGAATGGATATAGAATCCCTAGAAAGTACCCAGAGGAGAATTTCAAGATTAATCCCGGGCATTAGGAGCCTTGAGTATAGAGACAGATTTTAGTATCTTAATTTGCACTCCCTCGAGAGATGAAGAGTGAGGGATGATGTGATCGAGGTATATAAATGGAAGACAGAGCTTAAACAAAGGTGATAAAGGTACTCAAACAATCCAACCAGAAGCAAACTCGTAGCAATGGTTTTAAATTGGACAAATTTAACATACGAACATAAGAATGGAGGAAACTGCAGTGGGCCTATTGGCCCATACTGACAATCCCATTTACACCCAACCCCTATTGCTCATATATCCATCCAACCTATGTTTGAAGCTATCCAGCGTACTAGAGTTAGTGATGATGTTTGGTAACTTGTTCCATTCATCCAATACTAAATTTCCAAACCAACGTTTACCTATTTCGCGCCTAAATCTAAATTTGTCTAATTTAAAACTATTGTTACGAAGTCAAGATCAAGTAAACGGGGAGTTCTAGTTGGATTTATAGACAAGGTTACAAATGATCCTCTCTCGATGCCGGTCAGGGTACAACTGCACTGGCTGACAGGCAACTGGCGCCACCACACCTCGGCTGACAATATGGACCACGAGGGGGGCCGGTGGTAGAAGCGGTACCGCTCTTGCCTCGCAAGCAAGATGTCACGGGTTCGATTCCCAGGCCGGTGGAAGCTGTTTGGACATACTTCCTAGCCCCCATTAGTCCCTGTTCACCTAGCAGTAAAGTAGGTACCTGTTGTAAGTCGAAAGTTGCGAATTCGTATTCAGGGGGTTGTTGGAGCTTCCAATAACTTGATGACATAAACCATTGACTCTTCAGGCTTCTACGCCCTTAACTCATGAGACATAAAGGCAAGCATGAACTTAGCATGCTTCCCTGTTGGGCACTGTAAACGCTTCTGCGCTTCACCTTACACAAGAATGTAGGGGAGTGCCCAATAAAAAAAAAAAATGCGGACCACGGGTCCTAACAACCACGGGGGCAGTTCAACAATTGACAAACAAAAATAACAAAAATGATTCTCCATACATTTCAGAATGTAATAACACAATACAATATGAACATAACAGTATAATACATAATACTCTCACAACGAGTTCACTCCTGGTTGGATAGTTTCAGTACCTTTATAATATCACCTTTGTTTAGATTTAAACGTGAGATAAGTAAACATTGGTTTGGAAATAGAGTATTGGATGAGTGGATCAAGTTACCAAACATCATCATTAACTCGAATACGCTGGATAGCTTCAAACATAGGTTGGACAGATATATGAGCGATAGGGATTGGGTGTAAACAGGGTGGCCTAGTTGCCAATATGCCAGCTGCAGTTTCCTCCATTTTTACGTTCTTTTAACAATCAGGTATGCTGTGTTAAGCCAAGACACCTATGTCTACCCCTACTACTCACTTCCTCCCACCTGTTGTCCACCGAACGTTTTTCACCCGGTCTCTCTCTCTCTCTCCCCCACCTCCCTCGCCTACTCTAAAAACCACCAACATATTCGGCTGTCTGGTCATCTATACTAAGCTGCAAGTTTTAGCTGGGTCTACCTACGAGTCCTCCATGTGTCATACCTACAGTACATATCAGCTCATATCAGCTCCCCTAACTTAACTGGGAAACGTTTACTCCTTCCCCAGTGACGAGACAAACAAACTTTACAAACATTTATATACTTGTTATTCATATGACCATCGCCAGCACAAGTGGAATTTATAATAACTAAAGTCAATCATTATTGTACTAATGTGGTTTCTTGGTACTCCTGCTGGTTCTTTGTTAAAAATAAGTTGTTTTTGCGTATAATAGGAAAACTGTCACTGTTCGTTTTACCTACCCTCTACCATACTAAATTGATGACTATCTAATTAAATACTATTATCTTGAGCAAACTTTGCCTTGTATACGCTGGTGAAACTTCTGGTTGACTATGTTGCTGAATTATTAAGTAATCATAACACATACCATCTGGGAAGACCCTAATCTGTTCTCTGCTCACCATTTCCATATTATTATTTTTTCTTTGCATCCTGTTTAAATTATAATGTAATCAAATGCATGACTGTGGTAATGTAACTGAAACTTACAATTCAAATTCTTCATCATAGGTGGCTGGATCTTCTCTTATGACTCTTGTGCTTGACTTTATAGATTTGGGGAAGCATACTTTTGGGTGGAGCTGCACTTTAACAAAATATTCCAGAGGTAAATTACCAGGATTTTGATCATTCAACACCACATCCCGTGCCATGATGACCCTCACAGCCAAATGGTCTGAATCCTTGAAGAATGTCTGTAATAAATGCAATGACTGAAGATGAGACAAATAATAGAATTCTTCATTACTCAGATGTGAAGCGAGAAAGTGTTTGTGATATACCATCCAAGGATCAAGTGGTTTAGAACAATCTCACTAGCAAAGCCGCATATTTATACAATCTCACTAGCAAAGCCGCATATTTATAAAAGCATTGGGTAAGAACAACATATTCAGATGACTATAACAATGAATTAACAGAAAACTTTGTGAGTATTGCATTAATCTAAAGCTGCTTGACTATTTATTTCACAAAACAGTATAGATTTTATGATATATATATAGGTAAACCAATATTTGCGATGGGGTTGGGTCCCTAAAAACCCAATCGCAGGTCAAAATATCGTAAATCAGTTTCATTATAATATGGGGTTCAATAGGATACGTTCTTGGCTAATCAGACACCCACATGTACCACTGAAGAAAAAAAATCATAGAATAACGTACTACCAGCACTACTACACAGTTAAACAACACTCACCACATCATTAAGAACAAGTCTAGTTGTCATTACATGTCCTCTTCAAGGCTAAGGGGGCTCTTAAGGTGGAGTGGAGACATCAACCTGAGTCCCACATAGACTTTGGGGAATCTGAAGAGTGGGGACTGGAGGTGTAGCCTTCTTCATGGCCTTAAAGATGGTGAGCAAAACGCTTGCCAGACATTTTCAAAGTTACACTGCTCACTTCACAGTCACAAAAACACCATAATGATGATGGGGACTCAATTATTTTATGAAAATATGTAAGATAATGTTGTGATGGAGGTGTGGTCAAGCATTGGTGGTCTCATGTTACTGACCTGACCTGATCAATGTTAGGTGGAGGTGGGGTGGGTGGTTAGTGGTCTCATGACCTGAAGATGTCTTAAATAAAGACGAAAACTAAGTAGCACTATTTGCGGCCATCCAATGGGTGTACTGAATAAACTTTATTCACAACATCTGCTCTAATTGCGTTAGATAAATGAGTGAGAGGGAGGGAGAGGGACTGACCCTTCAAGAAAGCAGTCAATTGAGGGAGCAAGAGTCGCTCTGTCCCACCCTCACCGCCACCTCCTAACTATAGCGAAGAATATCTGTTCTAACAGTGTTAGAGAGAGAATTTGATACCATAATGATCCTGAATAAATGCTTCACAATACCATTTCAATAAAAGATTTTTAAACAAAATATGCCGACATAATATGAGGACGGGGACTCAATTATTTTATGAAAAATGTAAGAAATGTTAATACCAGAATCTATAAATTCAGTTCTAATAAAGTTAGACACACCATTTTTTCCTAAAATTATACTGAATATTTTATCTAAAAGAATGGACAGGTGCTTCCCCGCCTGGTCCCCGAGATATGCAGTTATCCAGAGATTGGAGCGCCTGCAACTGTCTAGCTTATACTACAAATGGGAAAGGCCAAGGGGTGACTTAACTGAGGACACTACTCAGCCGAGTGTCCATAACTAGAGCTGGCAGATGCCCACCCCATAAGGGGTCACACCTCGAGATTGAAGAAGCCACAATGCCAGAAAAATGTGAGGGCAAACTGTTTCGGAGTGAGAGTTGTGAACTCCTGGAACAATCTGCCATAAAGTGTTGTGACGGCACCGAGTGTGAGCTCTTTCAAGACAAGACTTGACCAATACTGGAGCGGGTTCAGGTACATTCAGGAGCCAATGCACGCCTAGCTAGTACTTGCCAAAAGTGCATGACAGAGACGCGATCGACTGCCCAAGCGGCTAACGAGCCGATCACAGGCAAAGAAGATAAGAGTAAAAGTAAAAATAAAAGTGTCTTCAGTATAAAGTCAGCCAATTAATGACTGGTCCTTGTCTTTTGGCATTATTGAAAGTAGTCATAAAACTAACTTCATTTTAATATATAATCTTTAATGAATGTTGGGTTATCATTATCACTGTAGTATTACTTTTGTTTCTCCCTCTTTCTTGGTACCATTAAATGCAACTGAACCCACAAACCTAGCCATCGCCATGATACTACCAAAGCATTTCACAGGCTAGCTTTGTTATATTCTGATATAAGACCTGGGTGGTGAGGCCTACCACGAATCTTGAAGGTTGTAAAGTAACATGAGGTTCCCAGGAAAGCCGAAGATCAGAACATAGTATCTAAGAGAATCTGTACAGCATAAGAAACTAAGAAGTAAAGTAATTAAAGGAATTTAAAATAAAATATAGAAAAATGTCGATAACAGAAAGAAACGTAACAGAAAACTAAAGTACACTTAGAAAATTACATAAAGTTTAAAGAAAAGATAAAAGAAAAGATAAATCTTATTCCCTCCCCCCGAAGTGCAGGCACCAGTCTGGCGGCTGCCTCTTATGAGGATTTATGAGAGTAGAGCAGCAAAATGCTGTACAGTTACCATATGATTTGATATTAAACAAAGAATAATTAAAACAAATATATTTATATTCTTACTCTAATGACAAGCAGACCTTTCTTGGGGAGTAACTCTTCATGTTGTTCATTGCATCGTTCGTGGTAGAAATGGGAAATGAGGGCATCTGTATTCATCTTCATAATCTCAAGGTGATTAAGAAGGGAAGTGTATTCTGTAGAAAAAAAAATTGGGTGTACTGTATTGTAAAGGTTAATATATAAAGTGTTCAGTATTTTAATATAAAAATATGCCACATCTTTTTAATTTTCTCAACTTGGCAAAAGTGCTATGGAAAAGTATGCGAGATATTGGTAAATACAGTACCTTCATTTTTAGCCTTATGGTGATCCAAACCTCCAGATTGAGGTGTAAAGAAGTTGAATGTTTCTTGTAATATTTTATACAGGGTTTCATAATACGCTCTCTCGCACTGAAACAAAGAGTAACATCATTATGGCCCAAACCTCCAGACTGAGGTGTGAAGATGTTGACTACAGGATTTCTTGTAATATTTTATACAGTGTTCTATAATATGCTCTCTAACAATATTAGAAGTTCCATATTTTCACCTCTGTAAACCCGACTGTATAAAGAATGGAAAGGTTTTGGCTGATTAAAATATTTCATTAAGTAATATGTTCAGTAAGAGAATGTTTTACACACCTTAGAATTATTAGCTACTTTGGTACAAAAAATCTTCAAAATCAATTTCCAGAATCTCCAGAGGTAATCTTGAAATTTGTTATCTTCGAGTCCATTGTGAAGAATGTTAAGGGAGGGGTCGAGCACCTCCTTCAACAGCTGTGAGGAGCTTCCACACTCACACGCTTCGTCAAGACACTTTTCAATAGTTGATTTCATCTGTTGAATTAAATAATGATGTTTTTTGTATGACAATTGTCAGAATTAAAAAGCATAATCAAAGCATAAATACCACACTTGCAAAAATCAATGTAATCTACAATAAACAAAAATATTTGAGAATTTTATCAATGCACCGCAAAACTAACCTCTTATAAAAAAAGAGAAAATCAGTAAATTATACAGTACTTAATATTAATTTGATATTAAACACATTTGATATTAAGCACACCGAGATAATGGGCAGAGAAAGACTGGTAGATGGAATGTATAATTCAGAGAAAGAACAAGTGAAGCATACTATCCATTTGTAACTTCTCCCCTGCCCCCATTACTCTTTGCCAACAGCCCTCTAACCACTCCATCCGTGTTTGTATGTTGAACACCCATGATGTAACACATTATCATATTTTCACTCACCTTTTATAGCATGTTTTTCATACCTTATAAATGATTGTATCCCTAAGCTCTTGGCTTTTGACTTTCATGTCATCTGCTTTGCTAAGAAACAATGTATCCACACTGGCTCGTATTTGGCTAACAAGGCTTGAGCCACCAGCTTGGCAGATTTTATGAACTTGTGAGTCAAAGCCAATGATTTCAAGTAGTCGTTCCATTTCCTTTTGAATGTGTTCAACATTCTGGGCTCCGACACAAACCTAAGAATGGAAACAGTTAATTGTATGTTAAAAACTACCAAAGAATTAATTTTATTTTATTGAGGTTAACTTTTTGTTGAAATAAAAGTGAATAAAGTAATAATAATATTCCGTAAATTATTTCACATCTTACCTTTTGGCAAATGAGATAACCCTTTGATGTTTCCTCAAGCATATCATCTGCTCTCTCACACAGAGCACCAACATAATATATACAGAGGGAATACATGTTTTCCAACATTATTTGAAGGAACTGTACACTTGAATCTGGATCAGGCCAAGCCAGCTTGTACCACCACACCTTCAACTGAAATGTGTATACACTTGAGGTTAAAACAGTTGATTGATTATGTACATCAGTGATTTTATTTTCCTTAATATCTCATTCATTATTTTTAACTTTCAAAAGTTAATATAAATAAATATAGTTCTGTGAAAATTAAAATAAGAACTGATTCCTATCATTTGGGAAGGCTATACTGTACTGGCCTTAAACTAAAATTTGACTTGATGATTAAAAGTTTCATAAGTAACTTTTCCAATAACATATTTTTAGAATGGAAGAACTACTGCATCAGCAATGTTTTCTGGGTGTGTTTCATTTAGTATATATCACCCTCAAGAAATTATATGATGGTCATCATCATAGGTAGCAGGTAGTAGGCAGCTACTAAACAGGGAGGTATTACCGCCTGGGATGATATTGGAAGCAAAATGTGTTGTCTACATGTAATGGTAGATCCTGCTGCCATGTGGCATCATGAAAATTATGACCAAGTCCCAGGTTGTTGATCTGACTTTCTGCCTCATTTACACACAATTGCAGGGTCTCAAGTGTTTCTCTTACTATGGCAACACAACATACATACATTGTTTCTCAATATTGATCTTTTTTTATTTTTTTATTTCTTTATGGTTCTTTATCATCATTATCATCATTCTTATTATTATTATTTTTATTATTACATTTTCGCCCCCCAGGCCCCGATGTGGGTCAGTGACCTGTGCCCGGGTGGGCTAATCCCTGTAAAAAAATAAATCAATCAATAAAAATAATAAGGCAAAGTTATTGAAGTTCCTGTTTTCCATCATTAAAGTCTTATCTACGTCAAAATTATTTCTAATAATAATAATAATTATAATAATAATAATAATAATAATAATAATAATAATAATAATAATATAATAATGATAGCTGGTCATTTGTTTCTCAAAAGCGTCAGTTTTTCTAAGGAATTCACTAGCGCCCGATACACTACCAAGTCAAAAACTTGAGAATAAATATAAATGCTGTACAGTGCTACATTTTATTGTAGTACAGTATTTCTTTATCACAAAAAGTGACAGTTTGACCATATCATTCATATACCCCTAAGTTTAGATTCTTCCTAAACCCTGTAATTCTCCATCACTGTAGCTGTCAAGGATTATAAACTTTAAAAAAAGGTCTTAAGTCGTTTCTTAAACTAAGTCAGCTGCTTCATGGATGCAGGGAACCAATTATACAATCTGGGTACTGTATAGGAAAAGGATCGGGCAGGCTCCTCAGGGCATGAAGGATCATCACTACTACACAAAATAACTTCAGAATGTATAGTCAGTAGGTTGGTCAAATACTTGGGCTCACCAAACATTAGTGTCTTAAAAGTCATTAGACAGAGTTTGACCTCTATCCCAGCTTTAACTAGAAGCCACTGTAATTAAATCAATAATGGGGTAGTGGAAGTCCTCGGTGGGAGAGCAAAACTAAGCCTGACAACCCTGTTTAACTTTCTTCAGTAAATAATTAGGTACTGTAGACAGACCATAAAGAGTTACAATAGTCAACCCGAGACAAAATAAGTGAATGTAATAGTGTCACAAGACACTATCTATCCAAAACTGTTCAACAACATATAGATTTCCAATATGAAAGTTGCAACTCTTAATTACTGAATTTATATGTTCTTTATTATTCAGTTTTGAGTCAAAGTTCACTCCAAGATTACAAATAGATTCGACAGGACTGAGTTGTACTTCCCCAAAGTTTAAAGAGCCAGAATCATCTGTGTCGTCTCCCCTCCTAATTCCTTGGATGACAATAATTTACGTTTTGCCGTCATTCAGTTGAAGTTTTTTTCCTAGTCATCCAAATCTTAATATCGGGCATCAAGGGTTTCATTATCTCCTCAACATTTATCATTTTTACACAAAGCTGTTGATCATCAGCATAGAAATGGTAGGCAACACCATGAGTATCCAGCAGAGATGCAAGACTACTGGTATAGACTGTAAACAGAAGTGATCCTGTGGGACTCCAAACTGCAAAGGGACCGGGTCTGAAATGGTTCTACCAACCATCACACATTGAGATTGGTCTGACAAATAAGACTCAAGCAGTGAGAGTGCATTCTCACAGACACCAAACGACCAAAGATCCTGAAGTAACAGATGATGATCTACTAGGTCAAAAGCTGCAGAGAGATCCAGCAAAACCCGAAGGGAGGACTTTCTTGTTATGAATTTTACATAAGGCAATTTCAGTTGAATGATGCTTCCTATAGGCTGACTGAACCAGAGGGCTTACTCCATCTCTCTTTAACAGAGGAAGTAAGTGATTCAGCATAGGACTCTCTGTGATCTTTGATAAGAATGAGAGATTAAAGACCAAACGATAATTTGACATATTTTCAGTATCATGATCAGGTTTCTTAAAAAGTAGACGCAATAAATCCTGTTTCTCAGGTAGCACAAAATTGCCCCCTGTAAAACATTTATTTGTGACTTACAAAGAAAGTCTGCAGCATGTTCGTAAGCGAGTGGTACCTTAGACACATTTATAGGATCTACGCGACATAAAGTCTTCTTTGAGTCGGTGATTTAGCGCAGAGAGTTGTTCATCTCAACAGGACAAAGCGGTGAAAAGTGAGGTTATGGCGTAACTCGGCTGAAAGAGTAAGGTTATGGCGTAACTAAGCTGAAAGAGTGAGGTTATGGCATAACTCGGCTGAAAGAGTGAGGTTATGGCATAACTCGGCTGAAAGAGTGAGGTTATGGCATAACTCGGCTGAAATTCAACTGAAAATTCCGAAATAAAAAAAACACCTTCAAGGTCATTTCTTGTATGTGATATCATTGCCATAAAAAAAGTCAAGGAAAAATCTGAGGCAAGCTGAGCATCTGAAGTGGAAGAAGGCATAGTAGTTCCAGACCTCTGGCCAAACAGCCCATTCATAACCGCATACGAATTTTTCTGATCACTGTCACAAGAGGCAACTGTACTTTACTTATGTTGTATTCAACTTTGCCTACCCACACTGAACAAACAACAGCCCTGTGCACAGTCATATACTCTGATCTAGTGTGGTCTGTTCGCCTCCTACACCACTCTCGTTCAGCACTTCAATGATCCTCACGAAGAGAACTTAAAGATGAGTCATACCATGAAGAGTCATCTCGTGCTTTAATTTCCTTCGTGACCTTTGGACAATAACGGTCTGAAATGGACTGGAAGATATCATTATGTAATTTAACCATCTCATCAGAGGACAAAACAGTTCAAAGAATGATCGACTTCCTCATCAATTATGGTCTGGTCAATGTCTCTTTATTTCCCGAAAGTAATTGTTTTACTGTAAGAAGGGTGGGGGGGGGGGGGGTCTTGGGACAATAGAACCAAAAGTAACCAAAGCATGATCAGAGCCTGTTGGATCGATCAGGTCAACTGCAACATCTAATTTAAGAGACAAAACTAGGTCTAGAGTGTGTCCATGGAGATGTGTTGGTTTGGACATGATACGTGATTGACAAATTGTTAAGATAGAGAATTTCCAAGAACTGAGAGGAAAAAGGTCTCAGAGATGGGATGTCAACCCAATAACTGAAGTAACCACGGATCAAACACCGCCCATTCTTTCCCGAGTCTCAAGAAACAAGCCAAATTGATCCATGGACTATTTGTCTTCCCCGCGCTTCGATATGTTTCCAGAACACCAGCTGATACCACTGCAGTAACCAATCACATTTTAGAATTGAAAAATTACGTAACAACAATCACGCCCCAATACGAATTGATATAATGCCTTTCACAGCTGCGGAGCGACATATTTCTCGAAACTCTCTTCTCCCTCTTCAACGTGTCAACCAGAGCTTTCTGCTGTCTCATCACGGCCAGCTAACTTACACGAAGCCACACTTATGTGTATTATTCTCTTAAGTCTAGGGACGTGATAGCCTTAGATACAAACTTAGTGTAGTAATTGTGTGTCCTACCTGCGAACTTTCCCAATCAATACTTATACTAGACACGACATTTATTTCCTTGGCCAGTGATCTTACCAAACGTTACTTGCAATACTCCGATTGAGACCATCAGTGTGCTCTTATTCATTTTTCTGTTTTACTGTGATTTATCAGTGAATTTTATGTAACTTTTGGTGTGTTTACTTGTTTATAAATATTGATGGTACGGTTTACAAAACAGCGATCACCAGAAGGAAATGTGCGATTTGGTTTAAATTTTTGGTACACACTATCAGCATGATATTAAACAGAAATGGAAACGACAATGCATTGAACCTACTAGAACCTAGTAGAACCTGACCTAACAAACCCAACCTATTAGGTAAGGTTCTAGTAGGTTCTCTGTATTATCGTGCTCATATATATGTTTAATATTATACCATTAGTGTTTACAAATGTTTTTAACCAAATCGCAGATTTACTTTTGATGGTAGATGGAAACCCAACCAAACTAACCCCCTGACCCAACGAAAGTAAGCAAAAGAACCTTGATACGTAATTCTAAACTTAATAAAGATCCGCAATTATTTTATTAAAAGGATCAGGAGTAATGGAACACAATTTATACAGTTGGAAAGGAAGGAACAAAGACGGCGGGAGGGGAATTAGGTGAAGCCGGACTGACTACGGTGAGAAAATGATTATGACGTTAATGCACCAAGAGGCGTAATTTTAATGCCGTAACATCAGTGTTCGCCGCGCTTTTACCCAGTAATTTCCCACTCCCTCCATGCCCTTCCCACCTACAAGGAATTTTAAATTGTAGAATAGAGTAAATAAAAAAAATCCTAAAAAATAGAGAAAATTATAATAAAGTTGTCGTTTCTTTTAATATCCTTAAAATCATTAAAGCAATAAGTACAGCAAACATATAGAAAATCAACAAACAACTTCGAGTGATAGCTGTGTTGTAAGCACTTACAATATTAATTTTAAGTATAATTATAAGAAAATTACTATCTGCTTAATTACCCTTCATAAATGATTTCCGGGCCTAGTAACTATATTACATATATTATTCATAATTTGTTCACGATTGGAATTTATGGTTAACATTTTTGCGTAATCTTACTTTTGAGTGTTTAAAAAGTTCGGTATTTCCTTTCACTAAATTACATTATTAACCATAGATTATATCCCGTGACAAGAGGTATTCACGGAAGGCCTGTTGGACCATTAGGAAAGCAGTGCCCAGGCAGCCACCCTCAGTAAAGGCTAGTACAAACACACCGGTAACATGCATAACTCTCAATACTGTGCCAGGGGTTCAGATCTTGCTTGGCCCGTACACACATGAGATGGATTTTACGTAGAGTGAACCTGCCAAACACCACAGATTTTCCTCCGGGTACTCGGATTTTTTACTCGACTAACTCTGAACAGTACAATAAAATTCAAAACAAAAAATAAACCAACTGTAAGGCATTCAAACTCCAAGAGTCCTATGACTCCACCACTGCCTCACTAGGTGTCCTATGACTCCACCACTGCCTCACTAGGTGTCCTATGACCCCACCACTGCCTCACTAGGTGTCCTATGACTCCACCACTGCCTCACTAGGTGTCCTATGACTCTAGCACTGCCTCACTAGGTGTCCTATGACTCCACCACTGCCTCACTAGGTGTCCTATGACCCCACCACTGCCTCACTAGGTGTCCTATGACTCCACCACTGCCTCACTAGGTGTCCTATGACTCCACCACTGCCTCACTAGGTGTCCCATGACCCCACCACTGCCTCACCTACACTACCACCTATGACCCCACCACTGCCTCACTAGGTGTCCCATGACCCCACCACTGCCCCCACTAGGGTGTCCTAGGGGGTGTCCTATGACCCCACCACTGCCTCACTAGGTGTCCTATGACTCCACCACTGCCTCACTAGGTGTCCTATGACCCACCACTGCCCTCACTAGGTCCCATGACTCTATGACTCCACCACTGCCTCACCAGGTTTCCTATGACTCCACCACTGGTGTCCCATGACTCCACCACTGCCTCACTAGGTGTCCTATGACTCTAGCACTGCCCCTCACTATGACTCCACCACTGCCTCACCAGGTGTCCCATGACTCCACCACTCACCAGGTGTCCTATGACTCTAGCACTGCCTCACTATGACTCCACCACTGCCTCACTAGGGTGTCCTATGACTCCACCACTGCCCCACCAGGGTGTCCTATGACTCTAGCAATGCCTCACTATGACTCCACCACTGCCTCACTAGGTGTCCTATGACTCCACCACTGCCTCACTAGGTGTCCTATGACTCTAGCACTGCCTCACTATGACTCCACCACTGCCTCACTAGGTGTCCTATGACTCCACCACTGCCTCACTAGGTGTCCTATGACTCTAGCACTGCCTCACTATGACTCTAGCACTGCCTCACTAGGTATCCTATGACTCCACCACTGCCTCACTATGACTCTAGTGCTACTCTTCAAGTGTCCTACTACACTTGTAACTTCGTACAAATAAACTTGTGAAGTATTTGACTTGTTTGTTTTCACAACACTACCTTTACAGAATGGTCTTTCTTAAATCCAATGTCTTAATTGGGTCCTTATAGAATCAGATTTCTGAGGTCATATTGTATTTAAATAATGATGGAACAATAACCCACATACTTACACTATGAAAGATGGCAGTTGTCTCTAATGAAGAGTGGCTGAAGCTGTTGTGTTGGTCTATGGGAGTAAAATTATCCCTCTGCAGTGCCTCCCACACCTGTTCACGGGCTAGATGATTGGTGAAGTGGATCCAGCTCTGTACACCAGGAATGAACCACTGGTAGTACTGGTCAATACCTGTCTTCACCTTTACCACAAGTGGAAGGCCCAAGTCTTGTCTATAAAAGAGCAAATTTACTTTTATATGATTCATAACTCTTCATTGGTAATGAATCTTAAAAAGTGTTAAATAATAATATCAACAGTAGTTTATATGACCAGTGAACTAAATATGATTAAGGAACACTACATATTATTTGGCACCTATCCGCGAGAAGAATTCGCCAGTGGCTAACGTTACAACACATAAACTTCAGTCAGTATATGTATGTACATTGAGAAAGGTGAGAGTTAGGAAGCATAGAGACTCTTAAACAAAGGTATAATTGGGGAAGATTAATTTTGCCTTGGAAAGGGAATGTTTAACTCTTGGCTTCACAAATATTTTGTCCTACCTAAGCATCTGTAGGCCTAAATTATCTTGTAAGGACTTAGCTTTAATGTGGAGATGAGATAGGATTGGATGGCCCAGGATGGAAGTGATGAACTAGGATGGATGTGCATAGGTGTTTTCAGGATGGAGACTTGTTCAGGAGAGAGAGACTGTGCCAAAATTTAGATGTACAGTCATAATCCAAAGTTTCGACACCCCCCTGGCTTGGTGTTCGCCAAGGCCAGGGTTGAGGTAAGGCTGGGTGATCGGACGCAGACATTCCACCATCACAACACTCCGAGACTCACTGCACACGAGCATGGAAAGAATTTTATACGAATTTTGACATGACATGTACTTGCATAACAAAATTTAATTCATAACATTATTGGCACACATAACAATAGCAAGTTAGGAGTGAGGCATGCATTGGCCTCACCTTGTCGACTGACCGCTCACTCCCTCTTGACGAAATTCGGCCGCCGGCCACCCTTGAAATATGCTGCCATGATGATTCATGTGTAATACGAGGACTCGCATCAAGTGGTTCCAAGCGAGTGTTTTGGGACCGGGCAAAGTTTTTCATGCTCCAATCTTAACATGTTATTGTTATGTATGGCAACAATGTTATGAATGCATTTGTTATGCAAGTTGATGCCATGTCAAAGTTCGTAATAAGTTCCTTCCTGTGCTCGTGTGCTATGAGTCTCAGAGTGTTGTGGTGGTGGAATGTGAACCTCATCATAGTAGTGCCGTCCGATCACCCAGCCTTACCTCAACCCTGGCACTGGCGAACACCCAGCCAGGGGGGTGTCGAAACTTTGGATTGTGACTGTACATGTTATTATAAAACAAACAGGATGTCTCCCATTTAAATGCAAATCTTAAGATCTGGGTTAACTATATTTAAAATTATAGTGTAGTCACTCATGTATCATTATATCAGCCTCTAATTTTTTTTAGGGCAGCATGTAAAGTCCTGCCTTAATGGCGTCTTTGTCCGACCTCACACTCACTTACAAGCTGCCACAGAATAAAGGGACAGCAACACATTCAAGTGTTCATATTACCTCCAAAAATTGTCAATGAGGCTGGTATAATGATATAAATGATATCTACTGAATCACACAGTATTAAGCATATTATTTTCCTTTAGTGCTCACAAGAGAGGATGCAAACAATCTTCCTGCAAATGAGAAAAGACAGCTTGACACAGTGCTGACAAATATTACATTCTCAGAGGAGTGTATTAGGAACAAATTGTTCAAGCTAAAGGTCCATAAGAACCTTGACCCTGACAGCGTGCATCACGTGGTGTTAAGAAAATTGTGCATCGAGGTTGCTGAGCTCTTTAAAATACTGTTCTGCAAATGCATAAATGAGCGAAAGGTTCCCAGTGACTTGAAAATAAAATATGTGAGTCCCATATTCATATAGGGAGATTATTACTCAATAAATAATTCAAAACTGGTGAGCTTGACCACCAGTGTGTAAAGTACTAGACATAGCATTATACGAGATACCATGATGAAACCTCTACTACGAAACAACCTTGTAAAGGAATACCAGCACGGGTTTATGCTGGGACAGTCCTGCTTGCCGCAATTGTTTAAGGTGCTGGATGTTTGGAATCAGAACCTTGAACATGGTGGCAATATCAACAATAGAGATTTGGATTTGCCAAGATTTTCTAAAAAATACCCATGAAATGCTAAGTTTAAATTGGAAAGATACGGAATTCAGGGAAGTATCCTAGAATAAATCCGAGACTTTCTTCATGAGCACAAGAAGTGTGTGGTGATTAATAGCATAAATTCGTTGTGTGTACCCGCGACAAGCAGGGCACACCAGGGGAGTGTACTGGCCCCGTTGTTGTTTGTTTGTTTCGCAAGAAACATGTCAAAAGCTGTACACTCCGCCATACAAATATTCGTGGATGATGCCAAGATATTAGGGAAAATTAAGAACTAAACGAACTCTGTCAACTTCAGGAGTGGTCGAAAGAATGGCTGTTAAGATTCAATGTTACGAAATATAAGAGGCTGCACCGAGGTTGTACTGTGGGGTATGTTTTGTTTGGTTCACTCAGGATGAGATGGAGAAAGGAAACTCACAATGTGCTCTCTGTATACATGTTGTATTGGATGTACAATGCAGTTTGGTGCTGGTGTCACGTGCCTGTAGCGCTCGGGAACTCGCATAGCGTGAGGCATATGTTCACGCCTACATTTCATACAAGCTATTAATAAATTGTTAATTGTACTTATATTATTATTGTTCTTAGTTACTTAGGTTAATTGTATATTTATGTATGTTATTTATATGCATCATTGTCTTACTCTGTTAAGTCAACTCAAGAGTAATATTAATTAATTATATAAAATATCCAGCAAATGTCCTGAATCACGTGATATGAGACGCTCCTCCACGGCGTGGGCACGCTTCGGCAGTAGCGAAAAACCCGTGGCATAGGTTAGACGTGTCCATTCGTTCTCTAGCCTTGACCCTTGTCTAGTGCTTTATCCAGTCTTCTGCAATGCCCTAGGGGTATCAGGTATTAGTGACACGTTTAGTTAGGCCTAGGAAGGGATCCTGGTGGTAAGGTATCTCCTGTTTGGTAGGGATAATCATTTTGTAGTGATTGTTGTATATATATATTTCGTATGTCTTGTGTAATATAGTAATGTTAAGTAATATTTGTTTGGTCTAACTCCTTACAGCATATTTTCGCCCTTCCGGCATCACTCTTATTTTATTATACACTTACTTATTCCCTTAAATTCATGTTTGCTAGTCATTACTCCCTTTAGAACATAAATTGAATTAATTAATTATCTTCCCTTTTGTGATTCACTTATTTCAACTGTTCTTACTTTTTCAAGTACATTTAGTTGAGTAGGTTTTTGGTGAGGATAATTATTGCCGTGTTCCCTATTTGTTCCTTTATTTGTTAATAACTTGGGGTAGGATTCACTCCCCAAGTATAAAGGGTAGTGGGATCGTGACACTGGGAAGTGGCAGCGTAGTTACAAGCGTGATGTAGAGAGAGCTGGTTGGTGAGGGTGCTCAGAGGAGGACAACTTGTGGGTCGCCACGCTCGCCGGCGGGAGCGAGGGCCGCCAGGCAGTGGTGGGGAGGAGGTGGTGTAGCTTGCTGCGGCTGTAGCTAGAAGAAGAGAGGTAGGTCACCACGAGGTCAGGTCTTATATAGCGGAGGTAGGAGTGGCTTAGTAGTTGACCTCCGTCACGTAAGGCGGCGCTGGTTGACCTAGACCACAAGCATACACTGGGGAATTCGCGGGGTCGGCTACTCAGCGACAAAAGCGTTTGTAGGGGAGGGATCCACTACAATACTCCCTCCTTCCCTCCAGGCGGTGTAGGAGACTTGTTGTCTACAGGATTGCATGGCACATGTGAGGCAGAACGGGCGGTGCATGCCACATGTGAGCCATAACGGCGAGGGCGTGGATGAGCCGGCCGCTAGAGGAAACAACTGTCTAGATACACAACATCTGTGGGAGTAGAGAGGGAGAAAAAGGGTGTGTGGAGGCGATGAATGTTGTGCTTCACTCGCGACAGGTACAGAGTCGTCAGATGCGCCTGCTGGGGTGTGTGGGTCTGGGTCAGGAGCAGGGGCTGCGTCAGCAGAAGCGGATGAGGGCTCGTGACAGCAGCTGGGTCCACGACAGCAGCAGGGTGCAGGACAGTAGCAGGGGAGTACCTGAGGGAGAAAAGAGGGGTGTGTGGGTCCGCGGCAGGGGGTACTGCTGGGCCGGGGCGGCGTCTGAGACAGGACGGGTGTGTTGGGGTCGGTAGGACGTGGTGCTTGGGGCAGGAAGAGGAGCGGCTGTCTGCTTAGAGTCGCAGAGCTGCTCTAGGGTGTCTAACCTGCGGTGTAGAGACAGTAGTTGTAGAGCCGATGAGAACTGCTTCTGTGTGGATAAGCCAGTCTTCCATGTTGCTTGAAGACTGGGAGAGTGATCGGTTTCTCCTCCATCCTGTGTGAGTGCGAATCTCCGGGGTCACCATTTGTGGGGTTAGTGATATTTGGGTTCACACTCAGGATGGGATGGAGAAAGGAAACTCACAATGTGCTCTCTGTATACATATTGTATTGGATGTACAGTGCAGCTTGGTGCTGGTGCTGGTAGGAGGCAGCATGGTTACAAGCGTGATGTAGAGAGAGCTGGTTGGTGAGGGTGCTCAGAGGACAAGCTTGTGGGTCGCCATGCTCGCCGGCGGGAGCGAGGGCCGCCAGGCAGCAGCGGCGGAGGAGGTGGTGTAGCTTGCTGCGGCTGCTAAGAAGAGGTAGGT